AGTTCCTCCTTTTCACCCTCCTCGGCAGCTCCTGCGGCCTCGGCAGCTCCTGCGGCCTCGGCAGCTCCTGCGGCCTCGGCAGCTCCTGCGGCCGCAGCGTATGCGGGAAAAGCGGCCGCTCCCGGCGGAGATCCTCCGGGGGCCGGGCCGAGAGATCCCCGGGGGCGGCGATAACGCGCCGCTGTTGTGTTTTCCTTCTTCGGACGGAAGTTACAGGCAGGAGCCCCAGGAAGGCGAGAGGAGGTCACGATCGAGGCATCAGATCCCTCTCGTGGCCGTACCCAGCGCCTTCGGGATTCGGGGTGCAGGTGGTGCGCCAGAAAAAGGTGACGTCTTTTACCCCAAACCTCGAAAATCCAGCTCCTGTCCGCTCTCCCTCCAGGCACACAACGCGATTCTCCCACAGCTGTAGCAGAACGGCTCAGCTCGGATGCACTGGACTCAAAACTTGCAGGGAAGGTGGAACGTACGTAGATGATGGCTGAGGAAGCCATCATCACAGGTAAAACATCCATCCACAAAAGAGTATTTAGGACATGAAGCCCAGCAACTGACTCCAAAACAAAACAAAACAAAAAAAAACAAAAAAAAAAGTGTGATAGGTTTTGTAAAATCAAAAGGATCTAAGCCTTTTTATAAAACTCTTTATTAGTAATACTTAAGTGGAACAGAAACCCTGGTAACAGTTAAACAACTCCTTCAGTGTCTCACTGTTCAGATGCAACCCTGCTAGGAAAGTTTAATTAAGGACTGACAAAACTGACTGACTCATCTGCTTTCCCTAGAAAATGGAATTAAGCTAAAACAATATATGACGTAAGATTAAATTAAGCAGATTATTTCAAAGGCATAACTTAGTGCATGTGTAACATCTACATAATGATTCTTCACAATCACCCATCTGTAGGAACTTCGTTTTCCATCTACCAGAAGTTGTAGACAATTCTAACACAAAACAGGAATTAATGTTTAGATGCATCTTTTCCCCCTTGTTCTATCCAGAAGACACGTGTCTGCCACGGATTTATAGATGACCAACCTTTACATCCTTTCACCACGTGGAAGCCTCCTGGCTTCAAGAGGAGTACATAAATACATAAATCTCAGATATAAAATGTCTCAAAGATGAAAAGTCCTCAGGGAACAAAACAAAATGATAGAATTTTGGCCAGGATATATAACTCAGCTTTCAGTAGTTTCACAACTTAGAGCAAAGAAGACTTAGCTAAGCTCAAGTGCATTACAATTCAAGCTGATGAAGTCCCTTTAAATATAATGAATTTATGTGTACATTCAGCATATTTTGATTTGGGCCCCAGACATCTCTCTTCTGTGTCTAAAGGCTATGAACAAAGCCAGAACCATTTGCATGTAAGGGTTTACCCTCCACCGGCCTCTACATGTACCTTTTTACATCTCCAGTACAAGAAACACCTCCCTCCATCTCTGAGTACTTGGAGTTAGTCTCATAGAAGTGCACTTCAGGTAACAAGAATAACTGAACAGTGTTAATGAGAAACCTCTTCCAGATTTATATAGTATATTTATTCAACATGCATCTTCCATGCACTATTCCTGCTGATAAAGAATTATCAGAGTTCTTGCATGGACTGACTTGCTGGAAGCAATTCCAGTCAAGCCATTAAGATTTCATCATGTCTGGGGTGTGACAGAGCAGCCCTAGTGACACTGAACAGATTCTTCTCCTGAATTACTGCACAAATAACCTCCTCTGACCTACCCATTAATTGGCCATGACCCATAACCTTTATCTACCAATAAGGAAAAGCCAGTTTCCACTCTGAATGAAATTTTATGTAGCAATTTTTCAGCTGAAAACCAAACTATAGGAAAATGTCTTTCCTTTGAGAACAGCAGAACAAGAGTACAGATTGTTGCAGCCTCAAAATGAATTTCCTTCCCCGGGGCAAAGAGCTAGCCTGGCAATTAATTACACTTTCTCTAAGAGTCAGACAAAAGATGATAAGAAGTGGTGCTTTCATAACTGAAGGGAAGGACAAGAGATTGTGGTTCATGGTATTTCTGTCCTCCTATACAGCCTCATCACATCAAGAAAAATAAAAGCAAACCCCAGCAACATTTAGGCTGCTACAGTCAATTCCACAGTTACAGACCATTTTCCTCTCTTGTACTTTCCAATTAGTTTAACAATATTAGTCTCTTTGTATAACACTACCAAATGGCCTCGGGCAAAATAAGTGTTTTTTTCCTGTGACTTCCAGAATACCCTTACAATAAACATATCTTTATTCTGGACCATCTTTTACTTGAATAATCATCATGAGCACAACTTACTAAATATGTAACCTTCAATTTTGCTTAAAGCTACATCAAGGAGCTCACCTCTGTCTCCTAGGGGCTCTAGATTCTCGCATAATTACTAGTGACTTTAGTAGACTTGCAAGAACAAGGATATTGATAATTAAAAGCATACCTGACAGGACTCCAAGGAGTTATTGGCAGAACTCATTCTACTAATGCTTAAAAGAAAAATAGCTTAATGGCATAATTTTTAACCGTGAGCCATTTAGAATGTTTATATAATACTTGTTCACAAACTAATCCAGCAGCAATTATTTGCACTTCCTTCTACCCCAGAGCAATGGAGAAAAGATCAGGGTTTGAACTTTCACAGGTATTTTCAAATGCAAACTACAGTTGTGGATTTTGTATGTCTTCCTGTCATGCTCTTTTTGGAAATACAAAACTATTTTCCAGGCTGATAACACTGAGAAACAAACTCAGACTTTTGAAAGCCATACCAGCATTCTGAAACATTGAAAAATTTCCTTTTTGTTCAGATAAAATCTGAGTAAAGGATTGTAGTAAGAACACTGTAGGAGTCCAAATTACTTTAATGTGTAATGAATTCTAGTGGAAAAAAATGTGGTTTTGACAATGTTTTCTGAGACATTCAGCACATTAAGAACAACATTTATGAATTAACAATCCACAAGCTGAACAGGAAGCCCTGGGAATTTGACTTGTGTGGACACAGTGTGAGCAGTAACCTGAAATTCCAGAATGTCAATATGCATCTCATCAAACAGTTCAGCTATTAAAGGGTTTTTCCCACCATTGTGGGCATTCATGTAAGGCATTTACTTTATCTAAGTCTGAAGCCACTAGAAGAAACAATGACCGAGAGATGTGGTATTACAACATACCTGAGATGAAACAAGAAGGACTCTGAAATGGCAATGGCTGGGCAGTGGATGTGCCCAGAATGGTGACAGTGCTGATCATTAGGAGCCAATTCAGAGTGATGATGGGGTGAAGGTGACCTGCATTCATGTTCAGAAATCAAATTACAGCAGAACACACAGTTCTGTACCTCCAAAGTTCTGTAGATCTAAGCATTCAAGGAGTTCAGTGGTGACATACATTGACTTCTGGGTCCCCAAGAGTACATGAATGCTTTCATAGTCACTTCTAGGATATGCAGTTACCTTCATAGCCAATATTAACACTTAAAGAGTTAACATCTGTAGATGCTAATGCTACTAGAGGAAACAAGAAATCTTGGCAGAGAGAGAGACAAAAGTAATTCTATTAAAGCAATTTGGTCTGCTGGTCTTCAGTCACACTTTTTAAAAATCTAAACAAACTGAAGAATCATCTTTATGGAATCCTTACAGAATAATGCCCAGAACAGGATCTAGCTGCTGTACAAAATAATTTAATATAAAGTATTTGAGTATTTACTAGCTTACTGAAACATGTAATACTAAATTTCAAACAACATACATAAAAAAAAAAAATACAACCATTATTCACTAGTTAGGAGTTCTGTTTTACCACCCTGCCACAGCAGCAAGACGGTCATTTCTTCTGTGAACTCCTGCTGACAGCCAAAAATCTCATCTTTGTTTACAGTAGATCCAATTTTTGGTACTTGTAATAGTATCTGGGAGAAAGAAAAGTGATAATTATCAATAAAGTGGTACATTCTCACATGTAAGAGAAAGCTCAATGATCTGACCAGCTGTTCAGATGTCCACTAGATATATTCAATGCTAGCATTTGTCTGGGAGGATCTGGATCTTGCAGATCTCATTTGCCAGTGAGAACAATAGTTTTGGGTATATGTACATTCCTAGTGAAGACCAGCATCATCTGAAAGACTCCTTGAGAACAAACATCCAGCATAAATCCCTCTGTTGCGGTCCGTATTTGTTTTAATAGTTTCATTGTTAATAGTTTATTTCTATGCTCCCCCATGTTTCCCCCAGAGCTGGTTTGCCCCTAAGTTGTATCCTCCCCTATGCTGCCCATCACTGTGACACAACTCCTTATTGCAGTACTTTCCCTGTCATTGTTCTGGACCCTTCCCTGTGAATCCCATCAGCCCAGCCCCCTTCCAATACCTCCCCTTTGCAAAGTCCCTATTCCTCAAGGCCCCTTTAGCCCACGTGACCTGTCCTCTTCTCCCCCTTATCCTCATTGGTTCCTATATTAGAAACCCCGTCTCATGTTCCTCCCCGGTGAGTTACTGATTAAGATTTTGTACCCACTCCCTGTATTTAATCCTGTGCACACAGGTGCTCAGGGCTCTTCTGTTCCTGACCCCTTTGGTACCAATAAACCCTTCCCTTCTGGAACCTCATATAGAGAGCCTCCTCCTTTCTCCTTCACCTGATCCCAGATGTTGGTTAGCGATCCTGCACCGTAGAGCAAGTGGCTCTAAAGGTTCTGCCTTCAGTAATTCCCATACTGAGGCAGTTGCCCATACCTGGCACAGCACTGGTGTCACACTTTGAGCTAGCCCAGATTCCAGTGAACCATGTCACCCCCCACCACAGTAGGGTCTAATTCCTGATACCAGCACCCTCTAGAAAAGGAGTAAGAAAACCAAACTTTTGTTCTGACAACACTACTTGCTGATTTCCAATTCACTTGCCCACCAAGTACAACCTGTGTTCTGTATGCAGGGCACATGACCTAGCATCCCAGTTCTTTGATTTGTACAGAAGCATCGGATGACTGTCATTAACTACATGCTTTCAAGCACTTCCCTGCATTCTAGATCCTGTATGTATGGTAATAAAGTAGGAAGACATTTTGACCTAAGAGACTGCAAATAAAAATTTTTGTGTGTTCAGTAATTTTGAAAGCTGCCACACTTATACAGTATCTTTGTATTGAATTAAAAGTGAATAAATGACACACAACTTGCAGGAAACTTGGAGAAGAACTGCTTTAAACTTTGGAAGACACATGCCATCCAGTGGTACACCAAGAAACTTCATGAGAGATGGGAAAGGGAGGGGCTTCAACCTCTTTGTTAAAGTGGTGAGACAGTTTTGTTCACAGTCTCATTTTTGTTTTAACAAAAACCAAGGAAGTGAAGAAAGGAGCTTTCCCTATGTTAAGGGTTTCAGAAGAAAATAACAGAAACCTTATGAGAAACAAGTAATTTTTAAAGAAAAACATTACTGATAATTTGAACTACTTTGGTAGAGGGATGGTAGTGAATACCAAAGTTCAACTCAGGCTTACCCTAGAAATAAAGCACAGAATAATAGTAAGGCCTTAATTGTGAAGTAGCCTATGACTATATTAATTCCTATGCTAAAGATCCTTGGATGAGAAAACGTTAGTGCAATTTTAATAAAGTACTATTGCACAAGAACACTATTAAGCCAGAGAGTTGAAGTTTTATGTATCTTTCATTCTTTTTAGCCTTGCAATTCAGACTGTTAAAAAAAGCCCAACAACCTTTAAACACACAACTAACCAGTCAGCATCTGCACAGTGTAGCAAGTCTATAAACTCCTTTACCTTCAGGTACTCCTTTGGGAAGGCAGAACTCTTTCCAGTTAATTGGAACTTGCTGGAGCTGGGAAGGCCTCTGGCCTGGTGACATTCTAACAATGGAGCAGATTTCTTGTCTGTCACACAGAGGCTGAAAAGATTAATGACATTTCATTCACACAGCTATTTCCACTGAAGAAATACTCTAAAACAGCTAAAAGCTTTCTTCTAGGGAAATTAGAGATTACATGTAGATTTCAAGGCATGTCACTAGAAAACATTTAAGACTACTTGTGTAGTAGTCAACATGCTATTAGAAAGGGTGATAGAAAGCTTCAAAGCTTTAAGCATTCTCTTTAGCAGTTTTGATACTGTAAGGATTAAATATACAGTACAATAGAAATTAGCATGATAAAACTGGATTTAAGAAGTGCAATAAAATCAGAACCTTTAAAATATTCTTTTCTTCTGGACTTTGAGGAATAATTTCTTTTTCTGAGCTCAGAGACACAGGACCAATTTCTTCTGAATTTACAAATGGACCTGTGGTATTCAGGAACAGGTCTTCCCCAGGTGAGGCTTTATACACCGGCGACAAGCTAAACTACAGCTCCGTTGAAATAAAAAAGATACAGGAATAAGTGCCCAGTTAAATAACAAACAACAATTCAGATTGGCTAATGCTTGTTGGCTCATGCAAAAGATATTCTATTGCTTAAATAAAAATTATTTAGGGATTCAGCAAGACCCTAATGTTCTCTATTTATTAATCTAATATGCACTAGCTCAAGAGTGAAGAGACAAGTGGCAGTACTGTACTGCCGAAGAATTCGAACTGCCATTTAAACATCAATTTTGAGTCAAAGAGTTTGTTCAAGTAAGGATACTAGTGCTGGTTTTACATTACATTTGCCAAAATACAAAACAAATTCCTAGATTAGGTTGTTTGGGGTTTTTTAATTGTTCAGAATTTGTCAGTTCGTTGTGCAATATGCAGTGTAACATATATATAGGCAGAAATGCAATGTGCCACAAGGAATGATTTCTTTGGTTCTAATTATTAAAAAAAAAAAAAAAAAAAGATAGACACTCACATCTAGCTCTAGAGGCTGAGCATTACCAGGATTTTTTAGGACTTTGTTTTCCTCCATGATTAGCATGGTGGAAGTCATTTGCTAAACAAAAACAGAACTCAGTATCAGTTTCAAAGTCTGCTGTTTATTATTACTCTCACAGTATTTTCCTAATATACAATACTTTAACAACTCCATTTAGAATCATTACTAGTTCTTCAGTTTTAAGTATGGAATTCCTGTCATTCAGGAGTTTTTTTGCTCTTATGCTCTCCAAAATTAAGACCAAGAATTAGTTTACTGCAGCATAGACATTTCAGATGTGGCACTTTCTGCCACTTATCCTATTTAATTGTAATTTCGGTCAGGATTCACAACTCCCACTTCCATTCCATGCCTGGAATGGGGTGGCACAATGGGAATACTCACCTCCACAGCATCTGTGCATTTGGTTGGCAGAACTTCTGCTGTCAACCCCTTTGATCTGACTGACGTGTCTTCTGGAGCATCAAGCTGCCTAAACATTGATGAACCTTCTTCTAAGGAATTAAAACTGCTTTTTCCTTTCTTCCGCCTTTTGGTTTTAGCTGTTTGTTTATCATGCTAAATAGTGAAACAATTACATTTTGTGTTACAAAGTGAATCTCTACAGCCTGGTAAGCACTAAAAAAAAGAGTCCCCCTGTCATAGTCAATCTCTACACAACCCATTTCAGTACTACTGACACAGCCAGTCTGAAAAACAGTGAGCTTGGGGACATCCATGATTACCGCTCTATTGAGAGGGAGAGGCAAGCTACATGTCCACTCTGCCCTGGCTGCAAACACTGCTTTACAAATGTAGCAGGAATTACTATTCCTCCAGGTGGAGTTTTCCACCCAAACAAGGAGAAAATCATTTGTGTTACAACCTCACAGATTTATTAAGGATCTTTCACCTTGCTTTCCGGTCCTAATGGTGAAGAACAGTGCATACCACTTTTTAGGTCTGGAGTTCTCTCTCTTGCAGCTGTTATTTTACAGAGTTTTTTTCCTGTGACAGATTTCCAACACATTAATTAACTTTGAGATAAAGACAACAGCTACTCCCCATCCCATGTCTTACAGGATGGTTTCTAAAGAGGAGTAATTGCAAAGCCACCCATGTAAACACAGTTCTTTCCTCCAATATAACCCTGGTCTCCTCCCCACCATCAGGACTGCTTTACCTCTCTCCCATTCTGTAAACAAGGTTGCTTATTAATCTTACGTTCACCTGGCTATTTACAGCTGGGTAAATACTGTGGGATCAGAGACTGCATAATCACAGCAGTCCTTACCAGCAGCAACTTCTGCTGCCATTACACTCCAAATTAAGCAGGGGGATATAATGTGGTACCTGGGCTACACAGAGAATTGTATCTGTACAGGTCAGAACTGTAGTTACATCAGGGACTCAAACGTATTTGTGATGCTGATATGAAATAGACTCAAGTAAAGAGCACAACACAAACAGTTGTGTTCCTGGGTAAGGTAAATAAGGAATGTCAATTTTCATTGAGCATCATGGGTGATTAAATGGAAAAATGCAGGGTCTGAGACTTCAGTTGGTTGGTTGTTTTTGTTATCTTCTCCTAACACACTAATTAGAACCAAGTCCTATTTGCTGGGATGATTTTTCAATATACACTTTACCTTCTAGACACAACTGAGTTTAGTATGTGCTGGAAGACAAATGACACAGCAGAAGCCTGGTTTAGATACTGTGCAATCGTTTAAGTTTGGGTAGAATATTCTGTTCTCACAGCTAGTACAACTACTTCAGGTCATATTTTACCTGCCAGTGTAGTTGAAATGCTTACTGCTGAAGAACTGTAATAGCAATTTGATGATCTCTTTCTAGAAGAGGAGAAAAAGAAAAGAAGAACTATTCTGAATTAATGTTAATATTAAAAAAATACTATTAATAAGAAAATCCTAGGAGTGAAAAGGGATAAATCTTATTTTAAAAAAATATTGTCAAGGAGTTACTTAATCACCCTTTACAGTTATTTGATAGTTTATCAAGTCACACATCTTATCATTAGGATTGTCACAATTTAAGACCCTCAGAAGACTCACTAAATACTTAGCACTTCAGCATTCAAGGACAGAACACGTTTAAGGAGGATGCAGGGGAAATTAGGTTTACAAGAAAATTCAGAATCAATTGGACAGAGATCTTTAACACTAAGACTGATACGTGTTATGAATGAAAATGTCTGCATATAAGACTGGAAGGAGAAGCACAAGGGTTAAAAGAAATGATGCTGTTCCTAAAAAAACATTCATGTTCCTCAGGTTTTTATATCAGAACCTGAAGGCGGCACTGTGACAAGGCCAAGTATAGAAGACCCTTCTCTGTGATAAAACCTTACCACAGACAACTTGTCAGAGAAAACCTGGCATCCAGCAACAGGAGGGTGTCAACAGGGTGTCAGCACAGCAAACACACACCCCCCCCATTGTACTTATTGGCAGATGTATTCCAAGTAAGAAAACACTATCAACAGGCAGTAACCTGGCCCAAGATTATAATATAAAGTCAGCAGGATTTCAAAGCAAAGGAGCTCCCCATGTAAAGCTGATGATTCCTAAAGAACATAAAAGACCTGCCCATAAACTGATTTTACTCTGGGCAAGCACAGAATGTCAGACTTAAAGAAGACTTGACAACAGATACCCTTCACCCTCTACCACAGAGACAAGCCTGGCCAGACTACCTTAGCACACCCCTCTTGCTGTGACTGAATGAAATCTGACAGAATCAGTGCAATTTCATAAAAACAACTTATTTAGCTGTTTGTTTTTTATGGATTTTGTAAATAAATGTCATCTCCTTCCATAAAATCCTTCATTGACTTCTCTAACATCGATTTCCCTACAGTTGCAAGGCCAAACTAGAAATCTGTAAGGCAAACTCTTCCCTGACCAGTTTCAAATTTCACCAATACCAAAGTTAAGGAAGACACAGGTAGCTGAAACTCCACAGAAGTGTCTGCAGGAGCAGAGGCTTATTTGTAACGGCCTTTCTTTTAAGCATCACTCAAAAGAGAAGAGTCTAAACATTTAGGTGCATCAAAGAGTCTGCTGTAGTGATTACCTTGCCACGCATCGGTCTGGAAAATCCTCTGGTACAGGTTCTGAAATAAACCCAAAACATGAAAGCTAAACTTTAAATGCCAGCTTTGACCAGACAATTTTTTAGTGCAAACTAACTTATAAAGCACAATATTGGAAGCAAACACAGACCACTAGCAGAGAGCTGCCCTCTATTATGCAGAAGACTTTACATAAAATGATCATTATATATTTTATAAAGGTTCCGCACACCAGAGTGAAATTTGTTTATGTTTATATCCTGAAGTATTGTAGAAAAGAATTACCTAATATTGCTGAAAGATTTGAGATCTGTGGTATCTTATCTATGGTCACTGCTTTGCTGGAGTCCAGGAGAGTAGAGTTCTTGTACTTGCCAAGGTCCATGGAGTAAAAATTGCCTCTTTCTGGACATAAAAAATACAAGTGCAGATTTCTTATGCTGAATTTCATTGAGTTATTAAATTTATGACCAAACTGAAAGCAATCACATTTGCAAGACGGGAACTAAAAAGCAAAATTAAAGCACTGTCTTGGCTCAAACAGCTGCAGAAAAGTTAGGAAGGAATTTGACTGAACACACATTTGTGGGTCATTCCCAATAAACAGCTTGTATCAACAGTGAATGCTTTATGTTTAAAGTAGGATTCAAATTACACAAGGACCTGATTAACACCAGATTAAAGGAAAGATACACAGATTTCATGTTGAGCACGGGTTTATAGCAAAGATGTGACCCAGTGAGTCACACTAAGGGAGGCCGCTAATCTCTCTACTGTAGACAGTCTCCCCACATTTTCTACATCAAATAAAACTGAAAAAAAGTCACCCAAAAGTGTCACCCAAATCATCATCTCTGAATGCTTCAGGGGATGAATAAGTCTTCAGGCTGTCATTTCTGAATGTTTCAGGGGATGAATAAGTCTTCAGGCTGTTGCTAGCAGTGCTATAATCTGCAGCTGAATCTTCATCTAAACAATCTATCAGAAAGGTGGAAACACCTGTGGGAAGAGTAATTTCTGTACCTAGAGAAAGAGACAAAAAAGCTGGCTAAAAAAACCTATCATCTTGTACAAACCATCAGGATTTCCTTATCTGAGTTTCATTCCTGTAATGAACTAAGTATTGTCATGTCAGTATCTCATAATGAGTCATAATACAGTTAAAGAAGCAAACAAAGGGCATCCTTTGTTTATTTCCATACACTACCATAAGCCAAGAGAAGATACCTTCTTCGCCCAAGGCTCACAAGACATACTTTAAGAATTTAGCCCCCAGCAGGGTAATTCTTAAATAGGTCACAAGCTTTTAGAAATGCAGGTTTGAGTAAACTGAAGAAATTGTGTTCACGACTAGTTCTGTCAATGATCAAATCAAGATCATGTGGTTTCCAACAGGCTGGGCTCAACACTGTCTCAGGCGCTGTGGGTCTGTCTGTGCTGCCTGCAACCAATTCATGCGAGCCCAGCCACAGGCTGCAGTAACAGGCAGAAGTCCAGCCAGTGGTGTCAAAACCTTCACTTTCTAATATCACACAGTCAGAACCAGTACAACAGCACAGAACAAGACCAGTACTTCTACAGAAATAAAATTATATAATGAATTTTATATTTAGTTTATTACTGGTATAAAATATATTTAATAATATAATGTATTGCCATTATACTCACTTGACGTCACTTCAGCGTTTTTCAAACATCCTTTACTTTCAAAGTTGATTATTTTGGATTCCTAAAATTAAAAGAGCAATATAAACAACCTGAGAAAACTGAAAGTAGACAAAGAAAGGCATTTAAATACCATCCTTCATTAGCAGATGCTGAGAAAACTCACTGTTTAGTACTTCAGCACTTAAGCCTGCTAATCACAGTGTAATTTTAGCAGGATTTTTCATGCACATTAACGAATCCGCAATCTTACAGCTCTAAAATTCAAGGTGACTATCCCATCATTTGATTCTGCAATCTTTGCTGGATGAAACTGCTGTTGTAGGCAGACTAATATCAACTGAACTTATGCACAACAGAGGTAAAGTACTGAACTTTATTGTCTTTTGATTTTATTTTTTTTCAGGTACCCAGTCCTCACTTTCAGAGGAAAAGTTACACCATTTCTGTAAATACAAACATCTATGATGTGTAAGCAGTAGATTCTACAAAACTAGACATTTTGTAGAAAATGTAAATAATTGGTACACTAAAGAAGAGCCAACATTTTAAAGAAAAGTAAATCTTATACCAGTATCACCTGTGCCCTTTGCTGCAGCAGATTTCAGTTCAAATACACCCAGTTCACTATTCTCTTGCCATTGCAGTATTAACTGTCCTGTAACACTTCTGTACCATCATCTCAAATGACCTCATTCCAGTTTTAGTAACACAAGAGCATCAGGGACCTGTTAAATGTCTGTGCCCGACCTAGAAGTGAGCAACTGTCTGGAATCACAATCTGCTGAGATCTCTTGCACACAACACAATTTCTACAGGCTTGTCTTGTTCAGGATAACTAGTATTGATGTTTTCTCAGGCATCCAGTAGCTCCAACAGCTTTTATTCTGGTCAAAGACACAGAAAATGTAATCCAAAATACAGGACCAAGTTCAGCCTGAAAAATGTCTGGGTACACACAGACATAATTCATAGGAAATTCTACCTGAACAGAGAAAGAAATTAATGTGTCACACTTCTCTGATTTATCCTCCATCCCTAGTAGGTAAAAAGCAAGCCAGCATTCTCACCTTCAGTGGTACACTTCTTTCTTCTTGTTCCTTTTCTTTTATCTTGAAATCTGTTGTTTCTCTGACAGTCACCTGATTACTGCAGTTGAAGAACAGAACCAAATTCAATCACAGAGCTACACTGTTTTAGACAAAAACAACAACTTTAAAATGTCTTTACAGGGTGTCAATAAATAATCTGACAAACATCAGTGCACTGATAATTCAGACTGCTCTGTTCCAAGAGCCATCTCACAAGGCAAAACAATGCAATTTATTAACAAGTCTTAACAATGTTGTGTTTGAATGAGTTCTAGCTAACCTTTGCTTGCATGAAGAGCTCTCTTCAGTATATTCAACGTTTTCTTTAATTTTTGGTAGATTTTTCCCACTGAACTTTTTCTGCAGGCCTACAGAATAAATATTTATTTCAGTAATGATATTTTCAATATTAGAATTATATTATTATTTCTAACAGGGAACCTTTAGCTGTTCCCACTTTTACACTCAATACTTTTTGACTGTATTATCACTAACAATGTAAAATCCAAATTTACTTGTTTCAGCAGTATATCAAAACAAATCAAAAAGGAGACATAAAGAAATACTTCTTGTGTTTTAGAAACCTATTGATTAAAAGAAAAAAACTCCACCACCTTGGAAGCAATCTTTACCTTGATTCAAAGTAGTTTTGAGTATAAATCAGTTTTAAATGGAGTTTATTAGGAGCATCAAGGATGTCTATATAAACTGGTCCTCACTCTATATAATCCCAAATGGCATTAATGACACAATAAATCAGTAACCAGCAAATTTCAGAGACATATTTTCTTATCCTAAAACTAATTTTATAAGCCATTTAGCTTTGTGCTTTGCTTTCATTATCTAAGAGCTAGAAACAGTCACACTTTCTAGAGTTACACTTCTATGACCTCAAAGGATCCCCACACTAAAACCTGGGTCTGAGTCACTGCATTTCCTCAGGGCCACACAGAGCCCTTCAGCTGAAGCTTCCTGGGAATTCAGGACAGGAGGACATATGGACAGGACTCATCCTTCTCTTTCTTTTTTCCAAACATATGGAAGACCTCCAGGCAGCTGGTTGCACTCAGTCCTGTGCACAGGAGCACTAAATACATACAAGAGCAGGAGCCAGCAGAGAAGGAACAAGGCAATAACAATGTTCCCTGTACTCTCTAACAGCAAAGCTTTACTTTTAAATTACCAAGATCAGCCCAAGATCAAGACATCCCACGCTGGTCTTCCCCATACTCTGTTAGCCTTCACTTGATTCCTATCCCTTCCCTTGAACTGCCGTGTTTTCCTTAACAGGTCTCAAATTCTTAGCTTGGTATCTGCTGCACTGCGTTCAACAACGAGGCAGCTCCTTTTGAGTAACTACTTTAAGCAATTCTTAAAATATTCTCTCAAAGGTAAGCAAGGCTTTTGTCGTGACATTTCTCAGTGCTCCCTTTCAACTCGATTAAATAGAGGGGAGGCACTTTACAAAAGGAAAAATCTTACCTATTGCTAACTAGCAGCTAAAATACAAGTAACACTCCTGTTTTCAGAACAGCAGTTTGCTTTCTACAAGTGGTGAGAAACATGGATAACAAGAAACCACTTCCCAATCTCACACAGGACCCGCTGCGCTGGGCACATGTGTGAGGAACAAACCTTTTTTGGGACACCGAGGACGCTATCTGTAAAAATCTTGGCCAGATTACCCTGCCCAACATCTTGCCCCACGAGAGAACACCGGACAAAGCACATAGCAGGGTCCTCTTTCGCCCACGCCTTCCCGTCGGTACCGGCCCAGCCTCCTGCACCCCAAGCCCCAACGCCACCCGGGAGAGGCGCTTACAGGCAGGCTCAGGCCCGCGAGGCTCCGTGCTCCCGAACAGGCGCCGCCGGCACATCTGGGAGACACCGGCGCGGCTGCCCGGGAGAGCGGCCGCCCCCGGCAGAGGGGAGGCCCGGCGCTTCTTCCACGGTGCTTTCCCGGGGCAGGGGCCGCGGACCCTGCGGCCCCGCTCCATG